TCCTGACGATTCCGGCGGTTTTCGGAAAAGATGTCCAGTGTCCGGAAGGATTCCATCATTTCAAACGTACGCCAACAGCAAAGAATAACCATACCAAGGATTGGTGTTTGGGAGTGAGTCGTTGAGATACGCGGTTATGAAAGTTTGTGCTGCTATTTTTTGGAGCTCGTACTCGGCTCAAATTCAAGTTTTTAGAAATAAGAAAATCGTTCCAGAATGCTTTGTTCTCGAGGTTGTAACTCGGTTTGAATTCAACCGTTTTAAACTTTGAAAACAATTTCAAAATTTTCAAGTTCAATTATCTTTCTCCTATTTCAGATCTTCCCAGCCGACCGACTTGACGAACGTGATCGTGCCCGATCAGTTTGTGCCAACAACAACGCCACGTTGAGTCTTCCGGAAAACCAGAAGGAGTCAGATTTTATAGCGGCCTTTTCCACCAAACACAACATCTCCGAAACGCATGCAGCCGACGGACAAACGTCTCCGAGATGTGCAGCTCGTGTGTATAAGGCTATGAAGGAAAACAGAGATTTCAACTCGTCAGCTGTCAAAGGAGAGTGTAACTTGAATAATAGGGTTAGTCGGTATAGTTGATCACTGTAAATTTTCAATTAGTTTAGTACTTCCTCTTCGACAATGCCAACACTGATCCAGCGTTCGTCTTTGCCAAATTTTCTTACCCTCCTCCAAACCAATTTGGTTCGTTTTGGTCAGCGAATGAACCCAAGTAAGTTTTAGAAATGACTTGAGCTGATCTAATTGAGTTTGATTGTTTTCTCAAAACAAGCCCATTACAATAACGCTCATTAGATGAAGTCAAATTTTCAGAGTCTACCACTTTGCGGCATGCTTAGCTTACAGCCCTCAATTTAATCCGACAAATGCCACTAATCCAGGCTATGCAAACACTTCATACTGTGTTGGAAGACCCATTGGCAAAGTGGACAGTGAACATGACTTTGCATCAGGTCAACAGGAAATTAAATCCGTGATTTGCGGACGACATCCGTTGTGATTTTTTTTGGGGTTTCATGGAGCTATATCTTTTTTGCTTGAATAAATAATCTAATCAATGAAAGTTATCATCATTTTTTTGGTTACAGTATTTTGGATACCTAAAGTGTATCTCGGGACCAACTATAACCGGATTCAGAAGGACTCCTAGAGACCACACAAACAAATAGAAGTGCTGTCTCTAATTGAAAGGCCTCTCTATTTGAAGTACCCCTTCCAATCGAAGTACCTCTTTGCTGAATTACGGTGGCCGATTTGGAGCCACTCTTCTGGTGTTCAAATCGGTGGAGCGCGGTTCATTTGGTTACTGTATCTGTCGCAGCTCTGTGTTTGATAGACGAGCGTGTTTCTTGAGTAGGCCGATAGCAACTAGTCTAATCCTAACATTTCGGTTAATATTGAAAAGGGCAAGGTAGAATTCGGGGGATTTGGAGTTAAAGGATTTGAGGAGTTGTTTACACCGGAGAAGGGCAAGGGAGGAGACACGATTAATATGATCTGAGAATTTGAGGTTGGAATCTGTTAATAAACCCAGATCACGGATGGGGGAGGATGATGTAATGGAGAGGCCATCAATTGCATAGGGATGAGAGGGGTTGTTTGGGCCAAGCCGGAGAAGAGCAGTTTTGGCAAGAGCCAGAGGAAGAAGGTTAGATTTGGCCCAGGCACCAATATGGTCAATACCTGATTGAATGGAGGACGGATCGTTGGAGAATATTTTGATATCGTCAGCAAAACAGGAAAAATGTAAGTTGGAGGGAAGGGAAAGGAGAAGATCGTTAATAAATATGATGAAGAGTAGGGGACCGGCTACAGTCCCTTGAACACCAAAATTTGCCAATTTGGCTAAGAGGAGGGCATGAGATACTTGATCGAAAGCCTTGCAAAAATCAAAATATACAACGTCTAGGGTTTTATGACGGGCCAGAATCATCTTATAACTGGAAATAGAGTGTATTAGGGAGTTTGTACAGGAACGGTATGCTATGAAGCCATTTTGATAGGGGCTGAATTTGTGGGCGAGATAATTTTCGGGTAGGGTGGGACTGCCTTTTTTGGGAATAGGAACAACAATTGCAAGTTTCCAGGCAAGAGGAACATGGGACTTGGAATAAGATTCATGGAAAATGATGGAGAGGGGAAGAGCTAGTAAGGTGGAGCATTTTTTAATAACAAAGTAGTTTACGGGGTGGAGTGAGAAACCACGGCGGGGTGGTAACTTGGACAAAACAGATTCAATGACCCAGGGGGCAAAGAGATCAGGGTCAGGTAGGTTAATTGAGCTAGTACTATGAGTATACCAAAACCAAAGTTAAAATCCAAAAATAACGGTAAAATTCAAAAATGACATAAAAACAAAATGGAAAAAAGATAAATACAAAAGTCTCGTCGTTTGAAAAAAATCCCCATCATCATAACCACAAAAAATATGTATTGATACACAACTTTTTTTTGGTAATACCCGATTTGAGGAGTAACAAGGACCGGATTTTTTTCGGTGATGAATACCGATTAACTTTTTATGGTTGGCAGATTTTTTCTGCCTATGGGTATAGAGACATGTTTATAGGATATCGGTAGTGCATGAAAAAAAACGTCACAAAAAAGGGGAGAAAACCTTGGGGTAAAAAAAAGAGGGGTGGCCTAGGTTGTGGGCCAAAGAGAATCCATGTTTCAATAACATTTATTTCGTTTCCTGTAAAAGATATCAAAAATGTTTGAACTAATAAAATGTTACTGATATCATGATGAACACTTTATTAGTTGACCACTTTTCCAAATCTTACACAGGAAACGAGATAAATTGGATGTAAGTTAGCAAAATTTCAAAAATAGAATTTTATGAATTTTCGGTTTTTGACACGAGGAAAAAACTATTTTTACTATTAACAATCACCAAATTTTGTGCGTGAGTGTGTCCGTTTGTTCCCGTATCACCTTCCCTAACGAAGTCCAGAATGAACCAAATTTTCCCAAATTTTCACAGATTACCCGAAATAGCAGCGAGATGATGCCCGAGTATTTTATACTTCTAAATTTTGTGTCTGACGTCTTCTGGAGACGTTCTTCAATTTCTACAATGCAAATTTTTAGAAAAATATTGAAGAAATATTCACGTCATTCCCGTCTAACCGCCCAAATTTTTTTCTTATCCCCGCTATATTTGAGAGAAAGGATTTTTGTGGAAATATTCTTTTAGTATGGCTTTTAAAGATTTGAAAGGAAGAAAAAATTCTGAAACAGTGGAAAAGAAAGAAAATAAAAGGAAAATAAAAGGAAAGAAACGGAATGCGAGGGAAAATAACAGCGCCCTTTCTGATCACTCGATTTTTCAGAATTCAGAATAATTTTTAAATTTTCCGAACTTAATTTCATAATTTTCAAATTTCGGAATATATAAATTTCTGAGATCTTATTCACCGAATTTGCCAAAAAATTTCAGAGTTTCAGATTTTCCAACTTTTCAGGTTTTCAATTTTCGAAATTTAGAGTTTTCGAATTCGGAAATCTACATTTCCGATTTTCCGAAGTTACAAAAACTTTTCGACGAGACTGTGTTTCGAAAAGTTGAATTTTTGAATTTCTAATTTTTCAGGTTCTCAAATTCTTGATTTTAAACTTTTTCGAAATTCTATAAATTTTGCAAACAGGGCCGTTTCAGGCCAGCCCCTTTAGTAAGTATGCAAAAATCTGAATTTTCCGATTCCTTAAAATCTGATATACCAAAATTTGGGTATTTGAGACATACAGATTGAAACACTTTTCTAGATTTCAAAATTAATGTTTTCCTACATCTGATTTTTTAAAATTTACTAATCTCTGAACTTGCGAGTGTCTTACTTTTTCAATTTCCGGATTTCCTTACTTCCGACTTTCCGAATTCTAAAAATTCTAAATAACCAAAATATCGAATTTCGAAATTTCCTAACAGACCATGAAAAAATAGTCCCTGGAAAAATGACAAACCTGTCTATAAGACAACGGGTACTGTAAGCGGGAGCTAGGAGGCTCAGCCCGGAGGGGCGCAAACCGACTGTTTTTCAAAAATTCGAAAATTTCGAAATTTAGAATTTTCGGAGACCAGAAAGTTTAGTAAACCTGACATTAGTTATCCAAAATTTGAAACTTCAGGAAACCGGGAGTTCACATACTCCGGATTTCAGAACATAAAAAATCTTTTTTCAGTAGTTTAGAAATTTTGGAAATTTGGGAAATCAAATATTCCTCGAAGAAAATTGATAGTATGCAAAACTTTCACAAATTTTGGTGAATTCGGAAACTCGAAAATTTTAAATTAGAAATGCAATTGTACGATACAGAAAGCGGAAGCCAGGAGGTTGAGCCCCCGACAGGGGGCGTAAACCGACTGGTTGGAATACAGTTAAAGGAACAGTCCATCTTTACAAAAAAAATGAGAAAAAAGTGGGAAAATGAGAATAATGGAAGTGTGAAAACTGGTTCGAGTGGCGGGATCGGATACTAGAGGAGAACACTTCTGAGGAAAATTTGTATAGAAGAATACGATGCATTTATTGACTTTTTATTGACAAGTACATGAATGAAAAGGAATAGTTCTAGAACTATTTTAATGTTAAAATTGCAAAACGAATAAATTCAGAAATTCAGAAATTCGGAAGTCCCGAAAACTCGAAAAATTCGGAAATCCCGAAAACTCGAAGAATTCAGAAATTTAGAAATTCAGAAATTCAAAAATTCAGAACGTCAGAAATTCAGAAATTCAGAGATTCAGAAATTTAGAAATTCAGAAATTCAGAAATTCAGAACGTCAGAAATTCAGAAATTCAGAAATTCAGAGATTCAGAAATTTAGAAATTTAGAAATTCAGAAATTCAGAAAACTCGAAGAATTCGGAAATCCCGAAAACTCGAAGAATTCAAAAATTCAGAAATTCAGAAATTCAGAAATTCGGAAATCCCGAAAACTCGAAGCATTCGGAAATCCCGAAAACTCGAAGAATTCAGAAATTTAGAAATTCAGAAATTCAGAAATTCAGAAATTTCAAAATTTCGAAAATTTAAAGCTGTCCCATGATTTTACGCTGATTTTGTGTTCTTTCAAACTTGCCGAACGTAGAAAAAAAGAACTTTTTTGCTATAAAATTTTATGACAAACAGATGCTCTCCACTGACGTCAATGAGTTTAACATTTTTCAGAAAAAAAGATAATAAAAAGAAGAAGAAAGAGGAATTAAAAAAAGCAAGATCCTGAGAAGTCAGAAATTCAGAAAAAATCCAAAATTTTCAAGTTTAAGACCCTTTAACTACTTCCAATAAACAACATATTTAACTACCTAATACCTACAATAATCAAAAAAAAAACTCTAAAAATTTCCATTCCAAAAAATAAGAATTTTCCAGAATCATCAAAAATCGTTCTGAACAAAATGCAAAAAAGTTGTTGTCCGGGTGTGGAATCGGATGAATAGGACAACCACTCACAGGACACAGTCAGGATTACATTTTTCTCTGCGTCTCTCGCTTTTCCACACACTCTCGCCCAAATCCATGAACTATCGGAAAATCGGTGGTCACCCAAACACCCCACTCATAGGCAATTAGAACCGAATGACGGAGGCAGAAAAAAAAGAGAACGAGAAACTTTTTTTTTGGTTTTCTGATGTAGATGTGTCAATTGAGAACTACTGACTACTGACTTAATGGGTTCCAGTTATATGTATTGTTATTACTGTAGGTGGAGAGAGAGAGAGAAAGAGAGGAGGAGAGAGAGAGAACAGATTTCCAGGAGGAGCTAATTGATGGGTGATGATTAAATATGACTCATGGGGTAAAAGACAAATGGATGGTCAAAATCAAAAGAATCCGGAAATGACAGTCGCTTAACATTCGCTGTTAGGGATTGGGTTTTTGCCTCTTTTCTAGTTTAGAGGCCCCAAAAAAGTTTACAGGTCCAAAAAAAATTAGAGGTCCCAAAATAAAATAGAGGTCCCAAAAAGTTAGAGGTCCCAAAAAAGTTTAGAGGTCCCAAGAAAAAATAGATGTCCAAAATTTGAAAAACGCACAGATATTGGAATAATGTACTCCTAACAATTTAACTTCCAATTCTCTTGCATCTTGCTGATGAACCACAATTTACATATGAGGAAAATTTCGGCAATACAGTAATGACTCCATGATTATGATGTCTCTCAGGCTTAGATGATTGTCAGAAAATATGCATTCCTAAGCCTATTAGAAGTATAAACTATATCATCAATGATTATTTTGCTATAAGACCTCAAAACATTATTTCTTATCAATTCACATTCTAGTACATTATTCCAGCATTGGGCATTTTTA